TCATGAGAATAGCCTGACACAACTCCCGAGAATTGCTTGAGAATGTGCCGCTTTCTGGCTGGATTGCAATTTAAAAAAATCTTATATAATCATGTGAAATAAAAAATAATTTTGAAAGCCATTTCTGAGTCCTCGTACGTATATTCCTGAAACATCTAACTAATATAACAATAAAGAATAGATAATGTAACCAAAATCGCTTCTAACAGGAACATAAAACTAAATATATACTCAAAAAATGAGAAAAAAAATCTACGTCCAACAAAATATTTAAAATCCCGATCCATTTACATAACATTTACATAACATCAATACTTATTTAAGATTATCATTACAAATTCACGTGTGTACTACCGAATTTCTTTAATAAACACATACATTCTGTAAAACTTATAAATATTCTAAATATTTCAATAGAAAAGGATAAAACCACATACCGTTTTCATGCAACTCTTTTAACTACTGAAATCTCTCTTAATTCTATGACATTAACTGTACTANGTTTGGACATTAAAGATATAGTTATTATATTATAACTAATGATTTTGGCTTGCTAAACTTGTTGTCGGTACATAATCTTCTAAATATAACTCAAAAAAGAGAGAAAAAAATCTACGTCCCAACAAAAATATTTTTGTGGAGGATGGTCTTGTATTGCATTTTTTGTGTTAGCGAGGTAATTCTATATTTTGGTACATAAGTTATTAGATACTTATTTCAAGGAATTTTATTTCAGTTTACAAATTCACGTGTGTACTACCGAAGTGTTCTTTACTAATAAGCATCATACATTCTGTTTACTTTATAAATATTTTCTGTATAATGAGTTTTTCAATTATAGTATATAATTTTGATTAAATTAGTTTTTTTATAGTTTTTTTTTATTTTATGGTTGAATACTTATAGTTGCATATTGTTAGCTGTTTTTTTGATTAGTATATATATTGGAGTTTAGTATTAGCTTGTTTATCAGGAAGGTGTTACTTTGTTATTTTCGTCTATGTACTATATATTTTCGTGATATAAGTTAAATATTTTATGAATGATTGCATTTGTCCACTAGATATGTACCTTCTCCGCGATTCCGTCTCATTGCACTGTTACGCAAGCTCTCTCTCGAGAGTGTCAGTTTCCCTCTCCTATTACATTGATTAGTCGTTTACGATCTGACTTATCTTTTCGAAAGATGCAGATTCATCAACTGCATCTAATGTTTCTGTTAGTTTATAATATAAAAAGAGTCTATTTTCGTTTTCATTATCTTTTAAATTTTGTTTTTTTAGTGGGTGGTATTGATAAAGGATATTTCTCAGCGGGTGATCTGGTAACACTGCGCGCATGTAAATAGCAGCCAAAAAAAATGGACAAAAAAATACAAGATTGCGTCATCCATCCCTTTCCCTAATAAATAAATGTTTTATTGACTTATTACTTTCTCTCACTTTAAATACATAATATATGGTATTGATAATGATAATAATGATAATAAGTCATAATGATAGTGACAAAATTTGTCAAAAATAACAGTAATAATGTGATGATGATAATAAATAATGATATTATGATGACAATAATCTCTTAATAATTAATTATGAATAGATTAAAAATGATAATGATTATGATATTATAAAAATGAATGATGAAGAAAAGTATATGAAATGCTGATATGCTAATAATAATAACGATAACGATAATAATAATTATAAATAATGACAATAAAAGATAATAATGATAAATGATGATTATAATAATGATGGTGATAATGGTAATAATAACGATGATTATGATGATGATGATAAGAATGATGATAAAAATAATGATGATAATGATAATGATAGAAATTATATTGGATATAATGATAAAACTGATAATGACAAATGATAGAGATAATGATGTATTAATAACAGTAATAACGATAATGATAATAATTGTTGCTGTCATTATCATTATTTATTATCATTGTTGTTATCAGTTTTACTATTATTACTGTTTTCATTATCATTATCATTATCACCATCAACACCATGATCAATTATCATCATTATTATCATTTTTATCGTTACTGTCATTATTTCTATCTTTACCATTACCTTATTATGTTATCGTTATTTGTCATTATTTTCTATTCTTTACCAATTTTCCATTATTGTTCTATTACTTATATTATTACATTATCATATACCATAATTTACTGCATATCTCATTATCATTTATCATCATAATCGTGATATTCGCAATCAGTAATTATCATCAATCATATATATCATTTCGCCCTTTTCTCATTCCTATATAACAAATTACCTTTTCATTAATCCATTTTGGCGATTTTTATACCATTACTACCATAAACCATGGTGGTCTTAAAAAAAAATATATTAAAAAAGGTCGTATACTTTAAAAAAATCAGTTATAAAAAAATGAGCTATTTCTGCCAGTGTAATATCGGAAATCAATATGTAATTTTCAAAATAATTGTGTCCCTTATTTGGCTGTCAGATCG